TGTTCTTTTCGTTTATTAAGGTCCATTGTATAGTAAGGAATGTACGTACTACGGAATACGAGTCTGTTAAAATGCCACGGGTTTTGGTTTAATAGCTGAATATTATAATGCAACAACCGAGACTAAGGCCCCGTCCAAACTATGCCGGATAAATTTGAATCCGCAACTTTCACACCGAAACCGAAAAAAACGTTTTCCGTCCACACATGAGAACGGATAAAATGCTTCGCGTCCACACTAGTCTGATCAGAGGCGGCAAAAACGCTTCATTGCACATCTGAGCATGTGCATCGAAGCTGAAATTGAGCCCGCGGTGAATTTTTAGCCTTCCCGCCATGTTACCATGACAATCATGACGTCATCGTATTCGAAAAAATTCGAGTACGAAATGTTCTCCGTCCACACTAATACGGCTAACCGGCATTTTCAAATTGTTCCACTCTGGAGACCGTATTCGAAAAAACTCGTTTTCGGTGAAGAATTGTTCCGGATTCGCCCGGACTAGTGTGGACGGTAGGCCTAACCGAATAAATAAAAATTCGGATTCAAATTTATCCGGCATAGTGTGGACGTGGCCTAAAGCTGAGCAAAGAGAACTCGAAACTGGAGTATTGATGGTTTTCACAGCCGCCATGTTGGATGAATTTAACAAAAGATTCGTCATAAGTCTCTCYTGTTATATCATCCAACATGGCCGCCGTGTCTTTTGTYATTTCATTCTCTTGGGAATGAATGAAAAGCAGCAATCCATTGGAAATAATATTTATTTTGATTATGCGGTGTGTTTTAACTCAATGCTGTACTTTAGAAGCTTTGAAACAATAGAACGTTCAGGAAATAATAAGTCGAAAAAACGTGTTCATACCAATCTTTCGTTCATGTTTGCTATTAACAGGGCGTCTAAGTGTTCACTACAAAGATTCACAATTAACTATAATTCTTTTTTTTTTTTTTTTTATTTGAATTTTTCTCATAATTTAAAGTGCCTACGACCCCTAATTCAATATTTTCAGCATTGATTCTACGTGAAGTAAATAGTCGAATGGTGAATTATTTTCATATCATTTGAGTGATGCGTCTTGGAGATATCAAGGTTTATACTTCAAGTATGCTAATGAGTGTGATGTCATAGTAGGCATTTGGGTTTATTTGTCATCATTTTTAAATCGAAACACTGATTACTATGAGAAAACAAATTTGCAATAACCTTTCCATAAACCTTGAGTAAGACAATTATGTTTTATACAGGATATTTTACTTCCTTAGTAAATTTTCGTATATTTAATAATGCCTGCTATGACATCACACTCATTAGCATACTTGAAGTATAAACCTTGATATCTCCAAGATACATCACTCAAATCATATGAAAATATTTTACCATTCGACTATTTACTTCATGTAGAATCAATGCTGAAAATATTGAGTTAGGGGTCATAGGCACTTTAATAATTTACCTAGCACACACACACACACAAACTAAAACTAGAAGAAGCTAGTTTAAAACCATATATTTTTGAAGATTCCTGTAGCTGTTTCAAAAATATGGCTTCAAGTTAGGCAAGTGCAAACACACAGGGAAAACTATCAACCACGATTTCAACGTCTTTTTCAACTCGAAATCCGTCGAATTTCCGATTAAAATGGTTTCTGTTTTTGAAAACTCTTTCGGTTGTCCCTTGAAGATGTCATTTTGAAAATGCCTTGTGCAAAATCGTTTCCAATCAGCACACAAATCTGCACAACTTATACAATATGAGTATTATAATGTTGAGGAGTCTGCCATTATAATCTTAGCTGAAGATGAAAATTTAGCCTGAATTGAGCCAAAACAAGCTCTCAAAAACCGTTTCTTACTTACTTTAAGATTTTCAAGCTTTCAAATACTTTTGGACTGTGTGGAGCAGGCGAAAAACCATTCCTAGAATAAAATAACAAGTGATGTTAAAATAATATCCTAACGCTTGATCTTCATGTAGAGTGATGTGAAATAGAAACTTTAGTTCGTAAAATCAACTCGACCTTTCCATATATTTGTAAACAACTGCCAATTTTATTCTTTATGGAGAGTTTGTTTGAGTTATCTAATGATCTTGACTCTCTTTCTTTGATCATATCAACTTTATTAACACTCGTTAACCCGAGTAGTCAAGTTAACTGCGCATGCGATATACATGCGCATCACGTGATAACAATTTTGGCGCCTTTTTAAGGCCACGTTTACATGTGTATCCCGAGGATATTCTTAAAAACGGTTTTTTTCTTTTTTTTCTTTTTTTTTTTTTTTTTTTTTTT